AGACAATTGGGATCGTGAACTTGTACGCCATTGGCCGCCTTGTCTTAGAACTGATGGGGTGTCGACCTCTGAGAAGCAAATCCTAAGCACACCTGCTGAACGTAGAACACATGACTGGAGGCACCGCTGACGTAGGCATATCCGGATACGCTCGCTGCACCTGCCCAAGCTCTGCACGCGACGACGAAAGAACCGTCCCGAGCCGAGTCAGAAACGAAGAGCTGATGACTCTCAGGCCGGACGACGAGCTTGGCCAGTCCCGTCGCACTGCCAGGACAGGGCTCCTTCTGCCGTTCAGCATCCGTCCTGTCAGCACGGCACCTCGCCCGACGCCCACCCTCCAGGAGACCTCACTGGGGCCCTTCGGCCACCCCATTCCCCACCTGGGGGCGAAGGCTGCCCACTCGCAAGAAGACAAGAGCGTGGGCTGAAACAGAAACCTAACCCGAAGAGACGTTACCTAAAGATCAACACGCAAACCCGCTACGAACGCGAGGGGTAGGAGGAGGAGGAGGAGGAGGAGGAGGAAAAGGAGGGGGAGGAGGAGGAGGAGGAGGATGACGTGGGTGATGATGAGGAGGAGGAGCAGGAGGAAGAGGAGGAGAAGGAGAAGGAAAATGATGATGATGATGATGGTGATGATGATGGTGATGATGATTGGGAACAAAGGGGGGGGAGGGAGAGACTTGAGAATGGAAGCGCGGCCCGAAAGAGAGCCACAAATAGCCGCGGGCAGCATAATGTGGACGACCCCGTGGCCAGACGATTCTTTTTGTGCAAAGGGGCGCCAGGCGAGGACACGAAATCTGATGCCGCAGGGGCCAGCACCAGGTATCATGGCTAGTCCAAAACACTTGCTGCAAGCCGCAAAGCTTGAATGAAAACTCACACACATCTAGATAGTCGGGAGACGTATCGGAGGCTATCGACACTGTTGGCCATCATTTCACATGCGCATCGTAGTGCACAGACAGGAGGGTGGCGCGCAGCGTTGCGCATCTGACGGTCTAACGATGGGATGCCTAACTCGCCGAGATGTCGCTTCCGAGTGCGACGGCACGGCGAGGCAACAGGTGAACCGGTCAGGGATAGCCTATCAATATCTTTCACGTTCCAGCCAACAAGACGAAATCTGTTTCTGACGCGGCCAGAGTACATGCAAGAGTCGAAAACAGTCGAAGAAGAACTCTGTCTCACAAGAGAGGTGCACGCACGGCCATCCCATATAAAAGACGCGTCGGGGTGGCACAATATGGCGGGCACTTTCTTACTACAGCATTCAGACAGGACGTGCAAGTACTGATATTGGAAAAGGTTGGCGATGTAAACAGATCGGGCCTTAAAGTTGGTCAAGGTCGGGAGGCCGCGAGGATACAGCTTAGAACGAACAGCAAGCGAATGACGAAGCCAGGTGGCGGTGTCGGGTTCCACCCACACGCACGAGATGCAGTTAGAACGAATCCAGCCTAAGACGCGCCGCATCACTGCGGGATCGGTGATGTCGTCACCAGGGTGGCGACTCGTGTCGAGATGCACGACGCCGAAGCCCATCCGCTGCAGGGCGCGTGCCGCCCCTCCGCCGCAGCCGAGCACCAGCGCGGGGCAGTGCCTGCTTCTCGTAGAAACCCGCCTGGCAGCGCGCCGCAGGCGCGTCAGACGAAGGCCCACCGTGCGGTGATCGGTGCGGGCGCTGGCCTGACCGCAGGCGGCGTCGGCGTCACTGCCCGTGGAACCTGCCGTGGGAAGACGCCCGAGGCCGTGGTCTGGAGGATGAAGTCGTTCTTCTGCCAGTCCACCTGCTCGTCGAACTCGACGATGTTCTGGCCGAGGCTGGCGATCCGCTGCTGCGTGCGGGTCCGCTTCGCGAAGCGGAGAGGGATCTGGTCCGTCATCCAGCGGCCGCGGTCCTTGACCCCGTTCGTCGTGCGCCTGAGCGACCGCAGGTCGACGGACGCACCCCCATTACGAAGCGAGTAGAGAATCAACTCGATCTCCAGACCGAGGGCGGCTGCTGCTCGACGGCACAGGCCCCGCACCGCGTCGAAGGCGACGGTCCAAAGGCCGTCGGTGGGGCCCTCGTCGCGCACGGGTCGAGGTCGCATCACGCTCCCCGCCGTAAGGCGGTGGGCCTCGCTTGGCCTCAGGTAGGTGTCGAACGTCAGCCCGATGAACATTGTCACGCCGAAGGGCTTCCACGCTATCAGGACGCCCACGATGGAGGCCATCGCCGCTCGAGGTAGAGGGAGACGCGTCAGTGGGAACACGAGCTCCCGCCAGCCTGTCAAGGCGCGAGCCGCCTGTGGGCACGGGGTCCTGCCAGCAAGGGCCGCGGGTAGGTAGTGCTCCAGAACGGGCATGAGTACACGGCCCGTGGCACTGTCGAAACCGTCCAGAAAGCGGTTCACGAAGTAGGTAACTAGGATGACACCGACCTCCTCCGTCGTGGCGCACGTCTGGGACTTCGAGCGGCACCGCTGCTCGAACTTCTTGGCAGCGTCCCGATACTTGGCCATGGTCGTGTCCGACGCGGCGGCCGACTCCAGCACCGACAGGGCCCCTCGGGCGAGCATCACGGGCCCAGGCTGGGTCCTGGTCCTCTGCTCCGCCAGCGGCGTGGTCCGATGCCCTCGAAGTTCGGGATGCAGAGGCCTGGTGCTCCTCGAAGGTCGGCCCGACGAAGAAGCCTGTCCTGGACGGCCAGTCCGCGGCATTGCTTTCACTGGGGATCCACCGAATGGCGTGGCGGATGCCTGTGGCCGCCGACAAGGCGCATAGTCGGCGTAGAGGGTCGCGGAGGCCTCGGGCGCCAGAACGGCCCTTGCCAGCGGCAAGAGCTAGAGCCAAATTGTCAAAGGTGAACAAGATGCGATGATGCCGAAGCCGCCCAGACCGAGCCGAGTGTCGCATCGCAAAACCGAGAGCCTCCGCCTCGTATCGCATAATGTCCAAGCCGAACCTTGAATGACGCGAACTGTGTATCGTGGCCCAGCCGTCGGAAGCCGTGATCGAGTCGGGAACCTCATCGAAGCCGTCGAAGGAAGCAGCGTCAGCTGGTTGTTGTAACGATGATGCCGTAGACGGAGGGCCCCAAAGGATCTTAGGAGGCTTCGTACTGAGGCGGCATTCTGCGAGACAATTTTTGTCCACGGTAGCTTCTAACACAGAGCGAGGCTCGATCCCGAGCGCGTGGGCACGGGCGTGCACGGCGTCGGAGAACCGATAGCGCCATCTCTCCGACAAGCGCCCCGCGGCCGCGGCGACCTCCTGGTCGACGGTCTTGCGGCAGACCCCGATGCCGTAGGGGGAGGCGTCGCTGCAGAAGGTAGTCGCCGACCACTGTGCTCTAACGTCGGCCCACCATAGCGGTATGAGGGCGGCCGCCGCGCGCAGCTCGGCGACGACCGACGGCCACGGCGGCGCGGCCACTCGGGATTCCAACCCCATGAAGCGGTAGACTGAGTTGAAGATCGACAGCATGGGTCTGTTGGTAATCATACCCCACGTACAGTGACCCACCACTGCTGACAAGGCCAAGGGCGATGCAAAGCCGCGTCTCAGTAGACCGAGCAAGGCTTGACGCAACCGGCAGAGCCTGTCGATCTTGCAGCGGGCGACGCCGGCGTCGCCGAGGATGTCCAAGCCAGTGAAGACCACGCGCTTGGCTGCGGGGGCGAACTCGTCAACGGGCAGACCCCTCGACGCGAGCACGTCACGTATGGCCTGGCATGCCGCCGTGGCCACCTCGGGGTCAAGGGACACGGTGGCAAAGTTGTCTACGCAACCTGCGCCGATGACGTCGGAGTCCTTTCGCAGCAGAGGGATGGCGGCGCCATCCACCAGCATGGAGCTCTCGTCGATTCCCGAGTCGAGGATGGCCGTGGTCAGGGCGGACTGGCAAAAGTGGAGGGCCCATGACCAGCCCATCGGCATGACGGAGACGAACGGCTGCAGAAAGGCGTCCGCCCCGATGACCACACCGTTGAGCCGCTTGAAGCCCAAGCACCGATTCGGGACGACGGGCAGAGAAAAATATCGATGCAGATGTGGCGGTAGCTTCATATGGTAAAATGCGCACTGAATGTCCCCCTGGGCAACGTTGAAGTCGCGGTCGGCCTCGAGTGCGCTCCATGCCGACGGAGTCGGCAATCTCGTAGAAGGAGGGGCCGAGAAGGACATGTTGGCCACCCGCGTGTCAAAGACGAGCCGCAGGTTGACGCCGTTGGACTTCTCGACGAAGAAAAAGCCAGTAGAAAAGGTAGCCTGACGATCGGCGACCTCCCACTCAAGCATGCCAGCCTGGTCGAGGCGTAGCAGAAAATCAGCATACTCCCGAGGTCGAAACCGATGGCGTGGATCCACATAGGGTGACCCCAGTCCCGAGTCCTTCCTGAGAGCAGCTGCATCAGCAGGGCCACGTAGCATTTGATGCCTCCACCCTGACAGCGTAGAACGATCAGCCTCAGACACGAGGTCGGCCGTCGGGACGGGAGCCGCGTGCTTCGGCCAGGAGACGAGCTCCTTGTCGTAGGGTCTTACCCGAGACTCTCCAGAGTACCCAGGCGCCGATGCGAGCAACTCTGCGAGGGCTGCCTCGCATCTCTGGGGAGATTCAGAATATCCAGGAGGTAGTTCAAAATCGCGATATTGTTGGGCAAGAAACTCCTCAGCGTCACTACGAGCGCGTGGAGGAAGACCAGGAGGCGGGCCGATCACATCGTTCGGGTCGCAGTGGTACATGTCGTTGAGAGTGGACACCGCGTCGTTGTACCACTCACGCCAAGCAGCTCCTCTGGCGACCCGTCTGCGGGCCGATCCACCCATGGATGAAGTGCCCGATCTTCGCTCCACAGGTAGAGGGTGGAAGGGAAAAACGCCTCGCTGCCGAAGAGGGTGCGCAGAGAGGGGGCAATGGGCCTGGCTGGCGCCACTGCGGCGCGCCCCACAGCCAGGCCTGAAGTTCTCAGGCGTCATGGCGCCCGCAAGGCCCGCTCCTCGCGAGCCTTGCGGCGCTCCTTGCTGATGGCGGCCTCCGCCTTCATCTGGTCTGCCATGTACTCCAGCAATTTTGGTGAGATGCAAAGGTTGGCCTTTGAGACGCCTGCGCCGAGGAAGTAGCTGGTCTCAGGCGAGCTGGAGGGTCCAGCTGAGGCGCCGCCTCTGGCCGCGGCCTTGGCCTTGGGGGCTGCGCCGCTCGGAGGCGCCGATCGCGTCTCGTACACCCGCTCCTCCAGGAGCTGGAGCTGGCGGGCGACGACCTCGAACGAGGCCATCTCGGCGATCTGCAGCTGGTCGTACACGACGGCGAGGTCCAGGACGCGGCATAGGGTCTGGTGGAGCTTCGCGTACTCGTCCTCGTCGGGCAACGCCATCGAGGTGAGCCACCTCTGGTGCCACGCTGTGGGCGTACGGCGCACCCGCCATCGTCGACATGAAGGACAGGCACCAGAGGAGGGCCCGCGGCCCTTGCACGGGCCAGCCCTGCACAGGCGTCCCCGAGAGGGCGTTGACCGTCTCACCGAACCTCCTCTCTCGCTCGCCCCTCGGGTTGAGCTGCATCGGGAGGACCCTGAAGTCGCCAACGGGGGCGGGCGCCGCAGGGGCGGCGGCAGGAGGCGCAGCCTCCACTGCAGGCGCTGGCACCAGCGGCAAGACCCCCACGGGCCCAGGCGGGACGGCTCCCAGCGCGGCGGCCAGCGCAGCGACGCCAGGGGCGACGCCGAGAGGGGCCGCCGCAGCGGCGGCGGCCGCAGGGGGCATCGCCAGAGGGACCGCGGCCCCCGCAGGCGGCGCCACCCCTCCCCCGCCAGGAGGTGGCGGCAAGGCCGCAGGCGGCAGGGCGGCGGCCGCCGCGGGGTCCGCCAGCGGGAAGGGACCAGGCGGGGCGCCCGCGACGTTGCCCGCCGCGAGCGCCAGCGGCAGAGGGTCGGCTGGTCTCGGGTAACCTGCGGCCACCGAGCGAGCGACCGCCGCCCACAGCCCCGCGGCCGTCGGGAGGCGGCGGAAGCGGTGCACCGCGACCCCCGCCAGGGCTGGCGGCGTGTCGCCCTGGCCCGCAAGCTGCATGATCGCCCGCACGCCGGGGCCGACGACGATGGGCTCGTCGTAGTCGTCGAAGTCGGGAGTGAGAATGTAGGCGAGGCCCCCGTTGACGCCGAGGACGAGGCGCTCGTGCCAGAGGGGTACACCACCGACGCGGTAGCGCAGCACGTGGAAACTGCCCGCCATCACTGCAACGCTGGGGCGCGGGCTCGAGCGTCTCGGACCTGCTGAGCCGCGAGGGCGGCGATATCGATGCCGTCAACGATCTCCACCAAGGCGGGCGGCTGGTGGGCCGAATGCCCGAGAAGCCGCCGCGCCGCCCAAGCGCCTCCAACGGTACCGACGGCGAGGCCGACAGTCAGCGCGGCCACCGCGTAGGCCGAGACGAGGCCCAGGCACGAGGGCTCGACCACGTGCCCGCCCGCACCCGCGCAGACGCAGGCGGGGCAGGAGACGGTCGAAGGTGCGGGGCAGGCCAACTGTGGCGAGCAGGCCCCGCAGCTCGGCGCGGCGGCCCGCGCCACGACTGTAGCCCCCAGCGCCTGCGCCCCGTACCTCAGGACGTCCGCCGCATGGTGGGCGAGGTCTTGCATCCCTGAGCAAGACCCTGAGAGACTTGAGAATGGAAGCGCGGCCCGAAAGAGAGCCACAAATAGCCGCGGGCAGCATGATGATGATGATGATGATGATGATGATGATGATGATGATGATGATGATGATGATGATGATGATGATGATGATGATGATGATGATGATGATGATGATGATGATGATGATGATGATGATGATGATGATGATGTGATGATGATGATGATATGACGACGAGGAGGAGGAGGAGGAGGAGGAGGTGGAGGAGGAGGAGGAGAAAGAGAAGAAAAATGAGGAGGAGAGAGGAGGAGGACGAGGAGGAGGAGGAGGAGGAGGTGGCTGCCACAAGCCAAGTATCGTTTGAGGCTCCCTCGCTCCCGAGCCTGGACCTGGGGACCCCCAACCGTTCCATGACCCCTCCGCAGCCGGCCCGGCCCTCCATGTCCGCATCGAACCTGACCTCTGCCGCCCGTCGCCCCTACACCTGATCTGGCATCCACCCACCGCGTCCTGCTCCTTGTTCCTCCTCCTCCTCCTCCTCCTCCTCATCCTCCTCATCTCCTCCTCGCTCCTCCTCTCCTCGCTCCTCGCTCCTCGCCTCCTCCTCCTCTCCCGCCTATCCTCCTCCTCCTCCTCCCTCCTCCTCCTCCTCCTCCTCCTCCTCCTCCTCCTCCTCCTCCTCCTCCTCCTCCTCACTCCTCCTCCTCCTGCTCCCTCCTCCTCCTCCTCGCTCCTCCGCCGTCCTCCTCATCTCCTCCTTCCTCCTCCTCTCCTCCTCCTCCCCTCCTCCTCCTTTCCTCCTCCTCCCTCCTCCTCCTCCTCTCCTCCTCGCTCCTCCTCCCTCGTCCTCCTCCTCGTCGTCCTCTCCTCCTCCTCCTCCTCCTCCTCCTCCTCTCCTCCTCCTCCTCCTCCTCCTCCTCCTCCTCCTCCTCCTCCTCCTCCTCCCCCCCTACCCCCAACCGTTTCGTTTTCCACCACCTCTTGGGAAATATCAAAATACCCGAACCGCTACTCCCCAGACCTCTCCCGGGGTGCGCTCTGACCAGAGTGTCAGGGCCAATCCAAAGGTGGCGACGAGGGCCCCCCAGGATGCCCCCGAAAGAGGAAAACGACGAGGGGACGCGATATTAGTAGATCGTTTCCTCCTCCGAACCTCGCCCCCGCATCCGTTCTCCTCTACTTTCGCGCTCTACGGGGCCCCGGCGGATCGCCCTGGCGCCGAAGGCCCGAGCCAGGACGACTCGACCACACGCAGGAGTGGCCCGGGGCAAGAGTGGCCTTTGGTGCGCGGCTTGAGGGGGCCGCGGGCAGAGGCCAAACTCAAGCGCACAGGCCAGGCGCTGGGAGGATCCCTGCGAGCCCGCACCAAAGGTCACCTCGGAGGAGGCGAAGGAGGAGGAGGAGGAGGAGGAGGAGGAAGAGGAGGAGGAGGAGCGAAATGTCACTCTTACGAGTAGCCGAACGATCCGGTCCTCCGCCTGCCTCGGGAAAGAAGGCTGCCGCCCAGGCCTTGGGCGGATCACCTCGGCGGAGGCACACAGCCTCCTCCTCCTCCTCCTCCTCCTCCGCTGCGTCTCGCATTTTCGGGTTCCCTTCGACAAGACACAAGAGTGACCTTGGGTAAGAGCGGCCTTTGGTGCGCGGTTTGTTCGCGGCCGCGGGGGAACTAAACACCAGCGTGCAAGACGCTACCACCGCATCGCACTCGGCGATCGGGGGACCCCAGCGGGCCCGCGCCAAGGTCGCTCCGGCGAAAGGTCACTCCTAGGCGTAGTCGATCCCTTGCCTTGTTGCCTCTGAGGCGCAGCGGACATAGGTAAGAATCTGGCCTCCGGCGAGGCCCTGTCGTTACCCACATCTACTGCGTCCAGGGGTGGTGGCACCCCTCCCCAAAAACATTCGAGACGTCGTGGACATGTGCATACCACTTGCGCGCTTCACCGGCCGCCGGGGGGAGGGAGGAGGGAGGAGGAGGAAGGAGGGAGGAGGGAGGAGAGAGGGGGGAGGAGGGAGGAGGGAGGAGGGAGAAGGGAGGAGGGAGGAGGGAGGAGGGAGGAGGGAGGGGGGAGGAGGGAAAGAGAGGGAGGAGGAGGAGGGGGAGGAAGGAGAAGGAGGAGGAGGAGGGAGAGGAGGGAGGAGGGGGGAGTAGTAGGAGTAGGAGGAGGAGGAGGAGGAGGAGGAGGAGGGGAGGAGGAGCAGGAGGAGGAGGAGGAGGGAGGAGGAGGAGGAGGAGGAGGAGGAGGATGAGGAGGAGGAGGAGGAAGAGGAGGAGGAGGAGGAGGGGGAGGAGGAGGAAGGAGGCATGCAGTCAGGGCGGACTGCCGGGGCCGACAGGAGCAGAAGAGAAAAAGGCAGGGCCCGCCCGGCCTGTGGCCGCTGATCTGCTGCTGCGCGGGGTGCGACACGTGCCGCTCGCGATGCCACACGATCCTGCCCACCTGAGAACCGTGTTTCGGGGATGGACAGACCACCCTTGATTAAAACGTGTTTTAGTGAAAACGATTTCGGGCCCAAACCTGGCGGGCGCAAGCCTGGAAAATGACGGCCGCGGGTAAGAGATGGGGTAGGAGGTCTGTCCACACCCGAGTGTTGTCCAGTTCGCAACCTTGTCATTGCACCAGCCTTGCAGACGTGCTGCAGCGGATTTACGCGTGGATTTCTGTCAATGCAACACCCCGACATTGCGAGCGCAAAACGATGCGAATGTCACGAGTCTTCCTTCCTGCCAAAAAAATCCGAAACGACATTCTGCAGGCCAATCCTGGCCCATCCCATTGGTTTCCGAACGAAATCCGCTCTGCGAGGTTGGCGCCATGAACCTTGCACTGCTCAAGGGGCCCGAAGAACATGGAAAGCAGAAGACCCTCCAATGTAGACCAACGCACCACTGGCATTGACTGTACAATGACTGGCCCACCACTTCGCCGATCAGAACCTTCGACAACACCGTTGACGGCATGCCCGATCACAGTACCGATCGCACCAGAGCGAGTATCGCATGTGTTTGACCCCCCGTAGATTACTCAACGTTCGCGTCCCCGAAGCTACGATCCCCCGTAAATGACGCTGGATTTGCACCCTCGAAACCAATCCCTTGTAGCTTACGCAAAATTCGCGTCCTCGAAACCATAAACGATTGTGTAAAGTATACCGTAGTTGCCGAGGCCACGATTACCCGTAAATGTTACAATGTTCGCGTCCCCGAAGCAACCACCCCTCGAAAATAAAAAAAAATCGCGCGCCGAGGCCAAAATCCCACATCAATTACCCAACATTAGCGTTACCGAGGTCACGAACCCACGTGCATTACGCCATAGCTGCGCCCTCGGAACCAGAATCCCCCATGATCCATGTCCTAAGCCAAATTGATCGCGTCTGGGAGGATGGGTCGGGGAGGGCCGTGTAAGATAGCAGTGCAGGTGCATCCCTCCTCCTGTCATCAGAACGTTCCGGAAGACGCTTCCCGGAACATTCTGAAACCTGTCTGCTCTTCTTTCGCCTCCGCTCAATCTTTTTCTGGCTCGAAAGTTTTCGAGCCAGGTGCTCGCACGCCCTTCCGCCCCTCCGCGGTGGGAGCTCGCGTCGCGGGCGCGCGATCGCTGGCGCCACGGCGAGGCGGTGGTGGCTCGCTGGGGCCGCCCTCCTCTCGTGCATCGGGGACTTCGGGGTCCTCGACTCCCTCCTGGCCAAGTCGCTTGTGGACCCCGAGGACGACGCGTCCTTGAGGTACACCAAAGAATCGAAACGGCTGAGTTTCTACGACTCAGGGTGCAGATGTCCAGCGTCACTCGGTGGAGCAGGTTCTACAAGACGACCGCACCGCAGCGCGGTCAAGTGGTGTTCATGGCGACGCGAACGTACCACAAGAAGAAGAAGAAGAAGGAGAACGACACCCGTTGGATCTACGTGAAGACTGATCGGGCTCTGGGCGCTGGCGACACCAAGGATTGGACGAAGCTGTCGAGCCGCCGCCAAAACGGGGCTCCCCGCCCCGACGGCCACGGAAGAGGCCGGGATCCTGGAGCTGGCCGGGGAGAAGCCGCTGGAAGCCGAGCTCTATCTCAGCAGCTTGCGCGGGTGGGTCTCGCACCCGTCCTGGGCTCGCTCGGGGCTCGTTGGCCTCCGGGGTGCGCAGAGCCGCGGCTCGACGGTGGGCGCCCTCTTCAGCGGCTGGCGGGTGGCGGTGTACTCCAATCTCTGGCAGTGGATGCGCTGGACGGTCGAGGAGGAGGAGGAGGAGGAGGAGGAGGAGGAGGAGGAGGAGGAAGAGGAGGCGAGGACGGCCGCAACATTGCTCCTGGAGGTCGACGACTTCAGAGGCTACCTGCACGACCTGCACGAGGGCGGCAAGCTCGAGCTCCCGATCCTGATGCTCACGGCGCTGGTCGCGATGGGCTCGAGCATCTACCGCTGCTGCAAGAGGCGCCCGATCCCTTTCCTGGCTGGGGGCGACGTGGACAGCGACGGGGAAGCGGGGCACTCGGTGGCAGCCTCCTCGGACGAGCCCCCTCCAAAGACATGCAGGAAATGAAGGCGATGATGAGCAGCCTGTTGGACGAGATCACCCGTGTGAAGGTCGAGTCCCCACGACGTCGGTCGAGCAACAGCCTGTCTTCGGCCGCCTCCCCAGGGGGCAGCAGTTACGCCAGCTGGGAGAGGCTATGCAGCGCACCCCCCGAGACGAGCATGGGCATGCACGTAGACAGGATGTTCGACCGCTTGAAGAAGTTCGAGGACACCATCAACGTGGACCGGGCTAGTCCGAACCGCAAGACGCTTCAAGATGCATCGTCGACTACGGCGACGGCAAGATCCATGGCATGTCCGACACTCGACCTGGGATCACCGACGGCTCCTGAGGTAGCGTGGGTCAGTCTCGAGCCTTTGAGGGAGGCCTTGCGGAATCCGCGGAAGCGCCTCCTCGCCAACCTCTCGAAGATCGATGGGCCCCCGACGTTCAGCCTCCCAGCGGCAGCGGGACCCCCTCGAGAGTGGCACCCGATCTCCTAGTCCAGACCTACGGCAAGGACGGCAGCATGGTGAAGTTTGCGGCGGACTGGGTACGCTTGAAGGAGCTGGGCCGCAACCACATCGGACACGAGATGATGCTGCACTGCATGATCTTGGATCGCATGCAGGATGCCTCCCCAGAGTTCATCCAGACAGCGGGCTGCGAGATCCTCCGCGTGCGGGTGCATGCGCTGAAGAGGGCCTTCAATGACGTGACCTGTACGAACGATTGGAACCAGCCTCAAGGCAGCGGGGCCAACAAGTGGAAATCCAAGGTGCGGTGGGGCCTCGCCAACGAGCTGGACTGGAGGTCGCTCACAGAGGGCGAGGAGGCGCTCCCTGGCGTGGAGCGCGACCTGACGGCGAGGCCGCAGCAGTGGGCCCTCCTCCAGACGCACCTGCAGGAGGGAGGCTCGGACGCGGCCAAGGAGGAGGACGCGCAGACGTGGAGGCCCCCCCCCCCCTGCTGCTGCCCTGCAGGGCGCCCTGCGTTCGACGGGGAGGCCGGCGGCTCGCCGCTCCGCTCGCTCCGACGACGGCCGCCCAGGTTGGCCTACCTTCCCGACGGCGTGGGCGGCGCTCCTGCTGGTCGCGACGACCTCTCCGCGCGGCGCTGCCGCTCGCGGGAGGCGACGCCGCGCGCGCTGTTCCTCCTCCGCGCGCTGCTCCATCGTCTACCTCGGCCACGGCCGTCGGGCCCCGCCTCCAGTGAGGGGGCCCCAGGACACACAAATAAATACACACAAATAAACATATTCCCCATATTTTCATATATTTTCTGGGTTTTTGTCTTCCCCTCCACTTCCCACATGTTCCTATATTTCCCTGGGAATCGGCGATTAATTGTGTCTGTGTGTTTTTTCCCCTCCTGAAGGTCGTTCCTCGCGATCGGGACCTTCTCCCGGACTTGCCACTGCTGCCCTGGGCGGTGGTGGCGCGCCGCGCGGGGCCGATGCATCGCGGCACCGCTCGAGGGGCGCGTGCTCTCGCCAGCGGGCTCATCCGCGCCATGCACCACCTCTCGCGGGGCATGGTGGGGGCGCCCGATGATGCGAGGCCGTCGGCCTCGTGGGAGCGGGCGGCGCCGCTCCTCAGGGCCACGTCGCGGAGGCTCCTGGAGGCGTGGCTTGCCTGGGGCGGTCAGGTGGTCGCGATCAAGGGGGCCGAAGACGCTGCCCTTCGGCGCGTCATGGCCTGTCGGGCCTCGCCGTGCTCCGGCGACGGGGCTGCTGCGGCCCTGGGAAAGGATTCCAAAGGAAGAGACATGCTACCAAGAGGTGCGATGTGTTCGGTCGACGTGGAGGAGCTGGCGCTTCCGCCGCCTGGGGCCGCCCCTGCGAGGATCGTGGACATCTGCCCGCTAGCGGCCGAGTACTTCTCCGGCGTCGTTGGCGGGGTGTTACGCGAGCCCAGCAAGGCCATGGACGAGGAGCTGCGGAATCAGAAAGTCCATCGCGACCCGTCGCTCCGCTCTCGCGCTGCTCGACTCCGCCTGGCCGAGAGGCTCTGGGATGCGGGGATTCTCGGGATCGCCGACCAGTTCGTCGAGAGCGTCTCCCTCTTCGGGGTCATCGAGAAGCACCTCCAGGAGGAGTCGGACCCCCCGGCCCGCCCCCTCCAGCGCCAGGTCCGCGCCGTCTGGGAGGAGAGGCGCGCCAACCTCCGCTGACAGAGGCCTCCGCGCGTGCCTCTAGGCAGCCCCGCGACGTTCACCCACCTCGACCTCTCCAGCCTGGGCGAGGGCGACGTGGTCTACGCGGGCGTGGGCGCCATACCGGACATGTCCTATAGGATGGAGACGCCATGAGACGCCGTCCGAGGCGTCGCCCTCCTTTGGCCTGGAGGAGGTCGGCGTCGACGAAGTCGGAGGCTACCTGAGGGCCAAGGGCCGGCGCGACGGCTTGCCCGACGACGGACAGCGCCCAGCGCCGAAGGTCTTGGTATCGGGTGGTCCTGGGCCCCTTTCCTGGCTCACTCGACGCTGCAGGCCTGCGTGGCGCGGGTTACCAGCCTGGAACATATCCCTATCCCTAAGCTGGGCATCTCCTCATCACGATGCCAATCTTAGGGGTTCCCTTATTTTTTGACGGCGAATCCCTAAGATTGTCATCGCCTTTTGGCGTGTCAATCTTAGGGATAGGGATGAGTTCGAGGCTGGTAAGCGGGGGCTCGGGGAGGACTCCATCGGCGCTCGCCTGGCCCGCGAGGCCCCGACGCCCCAGCCGGTCGGGCCCGACGGGCGCGAGCCGGTGAACTGGGCGCGCATGGGCGACTACGCCGGCAGCCGACTGCCACGTCGGCCAGTGCCCAGCAGCCAGACGCCGAGGTCGCGGGGAGGCTAACGGCTCGCGTCAAGGGCCACCTCGCGCAGGTAGGGCTCCCGCCAACCAGGATATCGAGGGCGAGGGGCTCGAGTCGCTGGGGGCCG